CTTTCTTGTATTGCTCTCCCTAGAGTTTCAAGTACTATGTTGAAGAGAAGTGGGGATAGTGGACAGACTTGTCTGGTTCCTGATTTCAATGGGAATGCTTCCAGTTTCTCTCCATTTAGAATGATGTTGGCTGTGGGTTTGTTATATATGGCTTTATTATGTTGAGGTATGTTCCCTCCAGTCCAGTTCCCTCTAGGACTTTGAACATAAATGCATGTTGAATTTTGTCGAAGGCCTTCTCTGCATCTATTGAGATGACCATGTGGTTCTTGTCTTTGAGCCCATTTATATGATTTATGTAGGGGGAGATTTTATGGAAGGGTGATTTGACATGCTGATAGATGGGCGTGTTTCCTTGACAAGTGTCTGTAGCTTTCCAGCTCAAGATAGGAGCTTGAAGGAACTTTCTGTGTAGGTGGACAAGCAGAGGGAGACCAGGGGACTGCTGTTGTAATGCTCTCCCCTTATGTCACATCATTTAAGGAGCCATAAGTCCCCATTTGTTCATAAACTTACTGTGCAGAACATGGAGGGTCATTCCAAGCTTTCCAGCTATTAGAGTACATGGGGGAATTGACCATAGGTCTCTTGAGTCATCCCTGACTGACACTCTTTTTGTCTAGGGAATTGGTGGCTCTCCAGGGATCACAGGTTCTAAGGGAGATATGGGACCACCAGGAGTCCCAGGATTCCAAGGTAAGACAGTCAAGCCTGGGCCAAACATCCCTGCTATTAAAGGGATGCTGTTCCAAGGGTCCCTGAGCACAGGGGCTTCAGTACTCAGACAGTGGAACAACAATAACCTGAGATAATTGTCTCTTCAAACTAAAAATACAATTGATTTTCCTTTTTCATTGATTTGTTTTGTTTTTGGAGACAGGGTCTCGCTGTAACCTCAGCTAGCTTGGATCTATGTAGGCCAGGCTGGCCTTGAACTCACGGAGATACACTGCCTCTGTCTCCCAAGTGCTGGAGTTAAAGGTGTGCACCACCACACGCAGTGATTTTCCTTTTTGAGACAAGGTCTTGCTGTTTCTCCCAGGCTAACCTTGAATTCATGGCAGTCCTTTTGTCTCAGCCTCCTGAGTGCTGGGATTACAGACGTGGACCACAACTCTGAGCTAAAAATGCCCTTTCTACGTGGCAGCCTAATTTTTGCACGGCAGAGAATGGATGAATAAAGCCATTCCGTTTTTTTTTTTTTTTATTAAAAATGTGAATCACATACAACTCAATCATTGTGTCTTAACAAGAAGTCAAGGCTTTGGGTCATTTGTTAGTTTCCTAATGTAGTCAGTAAATGTGTCCTGGGTGCTGGCTGTTTCTAAGCACTGATGTTACTGCAGAATCCAACTCGCCTGAAAGTGAGCTTAGTCTATAGATGTCTTCTGGTCTGTCAGTCAGACTATGGCCACAGACTTTATCACATGCCAATGTGGTGACTATGACCATCTTATAGTTTGTTACCTGCTTGTAAAATATAAATTCTGGGTTCTAGAAGAGTTTATTGAAATACCGCAGCTGGAAGAACTAATGCTTTTTTTCCATTGAAGACAAATTGGAAACATGTTCACTGTATGTTTGTATGCATACATAATATATATGCATATAATGTCTGCATCCACACACAGGCATGTACTTGTGTATATATATTTACATATATAAGTATGCATATGCATACTTACACTTGTTTATGCCCGTATGGATATGTGTAGCCATATTCTTATGTATCGTTGAAAGCTCTGTGCAAAGACAATGTCCTCTTTCCATCTAGGTCAGAAAGGTCTTCCTGGCCTCCAGGGAGTGAAAGGAGATCAGGGAGATCAAGGCATACCCGGACCTAAAGGTAGGCAAATCATTTATCAGAAACTTTACCAATGATCTGGGAAGATATAAAAACCTTCAAACACAGAATTAGAGATTTTCATTTTTCGTAGGTGAAATGACTAAAAAACCGGTAGAAAACAGTGATTAGGAATTCTTAGTGGTCTATCAGAATCCCTATAGTTGGAGTTTTTCTTTTTAGCAACAACTTGTCTTGAAAGTGAAATTAAGTGGGTGTCTTGGAGACTGCAGGGAGAGCAGAGCGGGAGAGCTGAGATGGACAGCTGAAACACCACAGGCTTGGATCCAGCATGTTGTGCAGGTTCTAACATTAGACTGACATCCGCCTCACAAGAGCCAGGACAGAGTAAAATCCACCTGCCTCTGTCGACCGTCCTCGCTGGATGGAGGAAGCGTTCTTCTAGGGAAGGGCATGACGCTGCCCTGTGCTGCTTACTCTCTGCTGGGCAGTCCATGTGAGGAGAGAAAGAACTGAGATGTGAGGGAAGCCCTGTGAGGAAAGGTGTAGGGGAAATGTTTGTGGAAGGCGAAAGAGAATTGGGGGAGTTCGGTTGGAGATGCTGAGGCTGCACAGACCTTGATCTCTGTACTGTTGTGGTAGTATGACATATCATGCAGTAGCAGGATTGATTTCATTCATCACTGAAAAATTAGAAGCAGGGGTTATGGTGCCCAGAAAGTTAGATTTCAGACAATAACAAATGCTAGGGTCCTCCACATCAGAAATGGGTCTGTGTAAGCTAATCGTGTAGCTCCTCATGGGCAGTATCAGGCAGGTCAGGGTGGTGGCTGTCAGGGTTTGAGAATGGAGTAGACTTGGAGCTGAGAGTTTGAGATTTTAGGTTAAATAGAATGTAATACATGCCAAAAGCATGTTTTGTGAGGCGCTGTGCCTGTGGTTCTGAGTATGGTTCTTTTGAGAACTGTGGTTATTAGTTGGCTCACAGTGCCTTTTCCTCCGAAGCTGTTTCTGCTCAACCTGCAGATGGTGAGCCTGACCCTTTCTCTTCCTCTCATTTCCCACAGGTCTCCAGGGCCCCCCTGGACCCCCAGGTCGCTACGATGTTGTCAAAGGAGAGCCAGGGCTCCCTGGTCCCGAGGGTCCCCCAGGTCTAAAAGGACTTCAGGGACCACCAGGCCCCAAAGGACAGCAAGGTGAGGGTCCTTAGGTTGTGTGGGTGTCCTGTGGGGGGTGGAGATTTTCTGTTACCCATGCATCTAAGATCAGAGTCTGAACAATGATTAACTAAACAAATACATTTGAATTGGACTTTTTTTTTTTTTTTAATGTGTCTCGAAACCAAATAAAGGTTTTGAAAGAACTGGGGGAAAAAAGGCTAACCAAATACAGGAAAACCAGAGATGCACAACCAGCCTAGGAGCCCTGCCCATGGGCAAAGACTTTGCTGTTTCTTTCCTGTTTTTCCTATATGCCCTCTGGGCTCTTGCTGACAGAAAGCTGTCCCTGTCCAGGTGTCTGTTGTCTGAGCACTCTAGGAGCAGGACTTGGCAGGTCTCTTGTCTCCTCCAGTTGGACCTTTCCATGCCTATCTGCCACATAGCAGCAGCAGAAAGCCTGGGAGAGCTCAGGGGACAGTCTCCAGGACAATCAGACAGTACCCCCACAAGCTGTATGGCAGTGTGTGAGGACTCCAGCATGGGGAGCTCTGGGCTCTATAGGAAGCATCTGAGTCTCAGACACACCCCATCACCTGTAGTCCAGGCCCTTTTTAAAAGATGAACTAGAGCATTTGAGAAGGAAAGAAAAAGGGACAGCTTGCTTCCAACCATCTCAAATCATAAATTATTTTTCCTTTTCTGCAGGCGTGACAGGCTCTGTGGGCTTACCTGGACCCCCAGGTGTTCCTGGGTTTGATGGTGCTCCTGGCCAGAAAGGAGAGACTGGACCATTTGGGCCTCCTGGTAGGTCTCCATAGCAGAAGCAGTAGATCTAGGTCTGAGAAACCTCAGGTGGTTAAAAATATTACTGACAGACTATCAAGGAATCCATATCCTAGAAGAAATAGGCTCACAGAAGAGCTAGGAGTTATCTTTTTTTTCTGTATAAAGACAGATGTCAGTCGAGGTGTATGCCTTCCAGATGTTGAAAGGTGGTCCAAAGTGGTGATCTCCTGTGGTTTCTTAAGAACTCAGTAGCCTTACAGCTACAAAAACTCTATTTTAGCCACAATCAGTGGAAAGTTAAACTGAGAAATAATACCACTGTTGGTCCCAAGGCCACTGGCATGGGATAAACTTCATGGACTTCCATGGGAAACAGGATTCAGGTGACTATCCACAGTGGACTGTATGTCTGCTGAGCAAAGAGCCCTACAGATCCGGGGCAGCTTTGCAGGAGGTATAGCTGCCTCAGGGGGTGCAAGGAGAGGCCAAGAGCTTCCCTTAGGCTCTGCTTCATGCATAGGTTTTCAGCCAAAATGAAGCTGTTTGAGGGATTCTGTCATAATCTCCCTTTGAGGAGCCTCAGAATTCCTTTAGAATAGAGTGACAGACTAGTACCACAGGTCATTACTCACGTCCATTAAACTGTCTGAGTATGTCTCTTGCCATGCACTGGGCTCACAAAGCCATCCCAAGGTGGAATGTGGAAGGAAAAGGATCACCCGGAGAAGACTGGGATTGCGCTTAGCTAGCTCTGCACTTTTCCCAAGTATGAGTGTTTGCATGTATGTATATGTACCACGTGTACACACTGCCCATAGGGGCCAGAAAAGGGCATCAGATCCCCTGGCACTGGAATTACAGATGGTCGTGAGCTGCCATGCAGGTACTGGGAACCAAACCTGAGTCCTCTGAAACAGCAAGTGCTCTTAAGTAATGAGCAGCTCTAACCACTGAGCCATCTCTCCGGCTCCGATTACAGCTCTTTTGAGACAGGATCTGAACGTTTGGGGGGACCTGGATGATAACTAAGGCACTGATTTAACTTCTACCCTACAGGTCCAAGAGGGTTTCCTGGTCCACCAGGCCCTGATGGGCTGCCAGGATCCATGGGACCCCCAGGTACCCCATCTGTGGACCACGGTTTCCTTGTGACCAGGCATAGTCAGACAACCGATGACCCACCATGTCCTCCCGGGACCAAAATTCTTTACCATGGGTACTCTCTACTCTATGTGCAAGGCAATGAAAGGGCCCATGGCCAGGACTTAGGTAAGACTCAGTTCATTCAGTGTGATGTATGCTGGGTGTCTACCTGGGTATACAATATCCTTACCTTGTGCGGTGGTATAGTGTGTCAGGCTGGCGGTGGCTCCTGAGAAGGACTGGCCCATTTCCCTTCACCTTCCCAAAGTGAAGTTCAATAGCTGCTGTCCTTCCCATGAGCAGCCATGAAATACGAGGGCTGATTCCTTGAAAGTGTTTAAATTAATAAAACTTTGGGTCTCTGTCATTTCTAGTTGGCAAGTAGAAGAGTCAGAGTTCCTGAAGGGGCACACTTACCAGTCGCATCAACATCCTTAAAATAGGGCTACTTACCTGTTGCTCTCTTAGAAACATGTCCCTGTTATTCTGTCATTTTGATGGAAATCCTCTGCATCTTCTATACTCTGTCCCTCTGGCGTTCTTGTGGACCAGCAGGCAACTGTATATCTGCCCAGTCGTCTTCGTCAGTTCCGGACACCCCCCACCAAGTTCTGCCTTAGTGTTGTGTACTTGATATAATTGATTAAAGCTCGAATCACCAGCATTCCCCACGTCATAGCCCATTCTATAACCATCGAAGCCTAAGTCCCTTTTAGAATTCACTTCTAGAACAGGCTTCTCTCTGCTGGCAAATTCAACTCATTTCCTTTCCTCAAAAATGCCCGCATGGTTCTTTATAGTTTCCTTTTTGCCTGATCACTTGAAATATGATGCTCATTCACTTTATTACTGGCCTACTTCATCTGTTTGCTTCCTTCTTTCTGATGAGAATATAAAACTTCAATATCCACTTCAGTGGTGTTGTAAGTTGCATGTGTGGCGTGGATCTCCACTCCATCTTAGGTCATAAGCAGAACTTAACCTCTCTGTGCTCTCTCGGCACAGGCACGGCCGGCAGCTGCCTACGTAAGTTCAGCACTATGCCCTTCCTCTTCTGCAACATCAACAACGTCTGCAACTTTGCCTCGAGGAACGACTATTCCTATTGGCTATCCACACCAGAGCCTATGCCCATGTCCATGGCGCCCATCTCTGGGGACAACATCCGCCCCTTCATTAGCAGGTGAGTCCAGTATTCACAGAAGGACATGTAGAATGGAGGTAGAAAAAGCTGTCCTTGTCCAGATGTGTTTAATTCTGTACTTTTTCAGTCTTCTCCTATGCATTGCCAGTAGGCCAGTCCCTGGCCAGTTACTAATTGTACTTTGTGAGTTTTATAATAGAAATGAGCCCTAAAGGTGATTTGGTATCAAAGTCAGTTGCTGTCTTTTGGTGTTACAGTGCAAAGCCATTGTGAAACAAAATGAGTTAGTGGTCATGTGGTTCTGGGTTCTTTTGCCAATCTTAAGACAGTATCTTAGCCTTTTTCTTTTTAACTTGATGGCTTCTATAAAAAGTCTTTATTGGCCGGGCGTGGGGGTGCACACCTTTAATCCCAGCACTTGGGAGGCAGAGGCAGGCAGATCTTTGTGTGAGGCCAGCCTGGTCTACATAGTGAATTCCAGGAGAGCTGGGGCTACAAGGAGACCCTGTCTCAAAAAGACAAAAAAAAAAAAAAAGAAAAGTCTTTATTAATACATTTTTGTAGTCACTTCTGTTCTTACGAATTTTTTTTTTTAAATCCAATTATTTTAAATCATAGTTTGTCATCTTACCTCTGTCTAAGTGCACAGATCAGTGGCACCAAGCATGCTGATTTTGCTATGTAAAAAACTGTACCATCCATCCCCAGAACCTGACACTTACTGTTAGCTACTCTCCTCACTCAGTGTGCGGTCCCCTGGACATAATGCTTTCAAGTTCATCCCTGTTGTAGCCTGTTAAACTTTCCTTCTTGTTTTCTAAGATATATTTTATTGTTAATTATGTGTCTGTGTGTGTTTCAGGGGGGCATGTTCACAGAGTTGCAGGTGCCCTCCAAGGCCAGAGGTGCTGAATCCTTTAGAGCTGGAGTAACAGGTGGTTGGGAGTTGCCCAATGTGGGTGCTGGGAGTTCCAGTCCTCTGCAAGAGCAATATACTCTCTTTAACCACTAAGCCATCTCTCCAGCCACCAAATTCCCTTCCTTTTTTAAAGATCAAGTCATGTCCCAGTGAATGAGTTCACTCTGAGTTTCATGTATCCACACACCACCCATCACCTGCCAGTGGATATCTGGGCTGCTTCCCAATCTTGGCTGTGCTGACTAAGGCTGCTCTGAGTGTGGGTGACACATCTAACTTTTTGTTTCAGTTCTTTTGGGTATATAACTAGAAATGGAGTTGCTGAGTCATATGCTGATTCTTTTTTAAGTTTTTGCGAAACCAACCACCTTAGTGTTTTCCACAGTGACTGTGCCCTTGGCATTCTGGCGTTCCCACCAGCCCTGTCCAAGTGTTCTCGTTTCACCACATCCCCACTAGTGCTTATCATTTATTTTAATAGTAGATATCCCCATGAATGTAAAATGATGCCCGTGGAATTGTGGTACCACAGATACAATATCTATCTTATCTGCTTTGTAGTGTTTGTACAGAAAAATTATGCAGATTTATCTTACTCAAAAATATATATGATCCTTGGTACCACACTGTGAATTATACGATAGTAAGATCTGTTTCACACTCTCCCTAATCCTACCAAAATTACTCCTTAGGATCATGTTACGCCCACTGAGAACATATATGTCTGACTGATAAGCTCAGTCCCCACCAACATCTGGCTTGTGTTCTTAGTTCTCCAAGAGCATTCCTGGTAGGAATTAAGCAAGGAAGTTGAGATTATGAATGAAAGTATGAAACTGTCCTGTTTTAGCCTCTTTCCATCAAATTAAAAGTGAATCATTCAGCTGTCCTAGGAAGGAAGCAACAGATAAGTGGAAATGGACAAACTCATTTGGCTGAGAGGTTATTCCATAGTTTTACTTTTACATGCTCCGTTATAAAGGATAGAAAGACTAAGAAGGCAGGGAAAGTTTTCCTTAGGACTATGTGAGAAAGAGCCAGACATTTCTACATTCCCCTTTGACACAGAGTCTCAATATGTAGCCCAGGCTGGCCTAGAACTCGAGATCTTTCTGCCTCAGTCTCTCAAGTACTGGAATTGTGGGTCTACTCCATCATGGCTGCCTCTCCACATTCCCTTGAAAGACAGAAGCATAAAGAGAGATGGTAGTCAGCAGATCAGCTTCCCCAGAAGAGCGAAACACATGGGACTCTGGGAGCAAAAGGCCTGCTCTCTCAGAGATCCACAGGCCTGTGGTTGTACATGGAAGTCTCTTCATTTTTTTTTGAGCTATAAGAAAATTTATTTTATGAGTCTTAAGCTGGAAAATGCCATTTGTTATACTCCCAGCACCACACAGACCACACAGCATTTCACACCCACATGTGCATGCCCACTGACTGTGTGTAGACTTTCTGCCCAGACTCACTGGAGGCGCTAGGAGAATTAACATTTCTGTGCTTTTCTTTTTAGCTTTCCTTGGACATCAGGTAGAAAATGATTATCATTTGTTTCTTGTTTACTTCCTTGGTGCCATTGACTCTGGCCTTGATTTGGTTGAAGACAAAGGGGCCTTGGCAGATGTGGATATTCCACAACAGGCCAGGGAAGTCTGTGTTTTTTTAGCGAACCTCCTGGTTCAGTGGACACAAATGAGTTGCTGACTTGTTTGAATGCCCCAGGACTGAACATTTCGAGGGTTTTCCATGTCTCTGGAATGTGGAGCTTGAGGGGACATCCAGGTCTCACCCCAGCTGTGGTCCCTCAACCACACACATACATCTCTGTTTCTCTCCTGCAGTGATGCAGTCCTCTTCTGCCTGGGTTGAGAGTACCAGTTTCCATGGTTACTTTAACTTGGAGGTTTCCAGCAATTCTTAAGACTTTCAGGCTCCTTCTTGGGTTTTCCTTTTGGGGAGGTCCAAAACCTTTTAGAAACCATAACACAAATCCTTCTGAGTTCTCATCAGAACTCAGATAGCTACTATCTTTCTCCTGTTGGCCACAGTTTCTGAACACTGTGGCTTTATTCAGACAAGAGTGAAGCCACAGTTGTTTAATCACTGGAGTGGAAGGACCAGGGGTTAGACAGAAAGGGGAATTGTAGGCTAGCCTGGGCTGGGACACTAACTGTGATCCTAGTTTCTTTGTAAATAACAGGGAAAATGAGGTCACCGACAGCTCTTTAAGCCCATGACACTGTTCCCTGGACACCCTTCTAAAATGCAGGGTTACCCTCTTTCTGACCACCTGAAGCCCCAGTGCCAACGCAGCCTGGGAAAGACACCTCCCACAGGCTGCTCCATTTCCTGTGCCCAAGAGGCAGATGGTGGCAGATGGGCAAGGCGATTTCAGTGACTGGTGTTTAATGGAACCTCTTAATTCATCTGCATTTGTGTGAATAAAGTAACTCTCTCTCTCTCTCTCTCTCTCTCTCTCTCTCTCTCTCACACACACACACACACACACACACACACAAATGGAATGACTAATCCAGCCGCCTGCCCACCCCCCATCCATCCTTATGCAAATGCTGTGCATAACTTGCTATAATTATTCACACCGTTTGTACTCATTTAGCAGCGTGGCTAACACTGTTTGCTCTGTGACTTGAATGTAATTATTTTGCTGCTGTGTTTGTTTTTTTTAAGCAGTGTACTCCCCTACCATCCGGTGTTCCCTCACTTGGGAGGGCCTGAGAACACTGTATGATTTCCTTTGATTTGGGGTGCAGTGTCATAGTTGGGCTTGAGCCAGTCTGGTGGGGGAGATATCCTGTCTTGAGGAAGGGTCAGCTCAGTGCCTCCCTCTGCCCACTGTTAGAACCTGGCCTTCCCATCTTCCCTTCTACTGAATAAATGGTTAAAAAAAAAACTTATTTTTGAATTTAACGTTTTAGCCCCAAGATGCACTTATACCTCCAACAAGGAGTTCCTGACCCTGGGTCTTAACACTGAGCACATAATCCACTAGAGGTGGGCCAGGAGAGAGAGGGAATAGTGGGATAGGAGGTGAGCCACCACTGGTCCATCCACACTGAATGCCTACTCTATCCCTTCCAGGTGTGCAGTATGCGAGGCACCAGCCATGGTGATGGCTGTACACAGTCAGACCATTCAGATTCCACAGTGCCCCAATGGTTGGTCCTCGCTATGGATTGGCTATTCCTTTGTTATGGTGAGTGTTTGGGAAACTGCATCTCCTTGGAAGGGTTCCACTAAGGCTGGTGCCTTATCTCTCCTGTTCCTCCAAGTTCTCTGGATCATGCTGTTTAGGTGTGTCCCCCTCACATCCTCTTTACAAGCAGACTTTGGAGCCTGGAAGGCTGTACCCAAGGAACACAGGGTCTCCAGCTGTTGGCAGCTGCTGCCTGCACCTTCCTGGGGTACAGAAGCTCTGTAGCTTTGTGGCCTGCTCCTGAAGTCTGGCCAGCTCCCCCAGAGAGAAAAAGACCTTATGAGGAGCCCATGGTTTGTTAACAAACATGAGCTTAAAAGTGGAGAGCCTGAGATGGGAAGGGAGCATGGATGTTGTCTGGAAACTCAGGCTGCTGCAAGTGAGGCAGTGGCCAGGTAGCCGACCCTCCTAGGTTGATACTCGGGCCCCACCCTAGGCAGCGAGGATCACTCTCCTATCAAGTAGCTGTTTCAGATGTTAGCCCTCACATCCTTTCCTTTGAAAAACTAATTACAACAGGACCACGTCCCAGTGTGAGGAACTCATTATAGCTCACTTGATTCTATTGCCTCACTCGAAAATATTGATTAAATGTACACAAATCCTGAACCTGTAAGATAGGGTTATACTGAATTAACCAACTCCAAACAAATCATCCTACATAAACACCTTCATCTTCTTCCTAAGGCAGGCAGAGCCAAGTTGTTCATTTGACCCTCAAATGAGCATTAATTAGCCTCATTTGATTGATAAAGGGCTTCATGATTACTTTCTGAGAAAGCTGGCTGGCCTCTCCCACTTGGGGAGGCGCTGATGTCTGGTTTCTGGCTCTGTGTGGAGTACTGAGTGCCCCAGCCTGGGGGTGTCGGGCAGGTGTTTGGGCACAGAATGGTGAGCTGCGGCTTGGGCAGTTGAGGGGCGGGTGGAACACGTGGCTTCACAGAGGGAAGACCCTGGCTCTTTCCTGAAGGACAGCAAGTCTCCCTCTGGTCTCTGGGGTGGGAACTTATGACTCAATTCACATTTTCCTGCAGCATACCAGCGCTGGTGCTGAAGGTTCTGGCCAAGCCCTCGCATCCCCTGGGTCCTGTCTGGAAGAGTTTAGAAGTGCCCCATTCATCGAGTGCCATGGCCGAGGGACCTGTAATTACTATGCAAATGCTTACAGCTTTTGGCTCGCCACCATAGAGAGAAGTGAGATGTTCAAGTGAGTTGGAATGACCCTCTGCAGGGCTCTGTACCTTTGGTGCCCTTTCTTTTTTGTTTTCCATGACCTGTCACTCTTTTCAGGGCCAAGCCTCAAAGATAGATGTAAAGCTATCATTAAGAAAGCCTTGTCCTCATGTGGTAATGGATATGGGGCTCTGTTCTACATGGGCAGATGACCCAGATGATTTTTAAAGGCAAACCTGAGGTGATGGACTTGATTCTTCCATTTACTGGGGAGCTGAAAAGGAAAAGAGGTCATTTGCCTTTCTGTAGATGAAAGTACCCAAATCTGATGAAAGCAGCTGAAATCTTCAAACAGCATGTGAAACATTGCATCTTTAATAGCCAGCGAGGAGGGCAGCGCCGTACATCGCTGCATTTACAGAATGGGTACAGTGCCCATGGAGGGCGAGTTCTAAGGAGCTTAACAAAGGACCTTTTTAGACTCATGTGAATAAAAATTCCTTTCAGCACAAATGCAGCTGAAACACAGGGAAGACTTTTCCTTCCCTTCCCATTACCAAGATTTATCTTAAAACAACCATCCCAGGGGCTGCCAGCCTTGTTGAAGTTAATTTGGAGCTGGTCCATGCCCTGCAGATGGGAACATGTAACACTTGTCCATCCTTTATCCCATGCCAGCCTGAGCAGGTGCAGCAGGCTGATGGGGCTAGGCCAGTGCCTAACCTCTCCTTCCCCAGATGCATGCTTCTGTCTCCTGAAGACAAGTCTTTTTCCTGGAGAGAGCTATGTGGAACTCTGCTAGGATCTTGGGTCATAAAAGTCCCTTCCTTGTTATCCTCTAAACACCCCCAAAATATCATGCACCCAACTGGTAGCTTTCATGAGGCTATCAGATGCAACTTCAGCCGACATAGTATAACTCAGTTACAGAAATGACACAGTGCTCATTATGCCCCAGTTAGAGGAACTTCATTATAAGGTTAATAGATCAAATGGGTTTTCTTAAACAAAATCAGATAAGATCACACTAATTTGAATAAGTCTTTAGGGGGTCTAGAATTTGTTAAATAGCTTCAAGTTCACAAGATCTTATTATACCTGATTTAGCTTGCTTTCAGCAGAATTTGATTGTTACCAGTTGGCATTTAGATTTCATCTTTCCAACAATCATAATAAGGTTGAATTTTTAGGATCAAGAAAATTCTGAACCACTATATGTCTTCTCCTCTCTGGCCTCAGCTCAGGCCATCTGGATAAACCCTTCCAGGGTTATGAGTGTATTTTGACGGTGGGTTAATTTTTCTGGGTTTTTCAGTCATCCTATCATCCAACAATATTTCATGAGCATTTGCTATGTGTTAAATATTATGGTGAAGTATACGCCCCTTCCATACTCTGGGGAACTTCTGATCTACTGGAGAAGGTGAAAAGTTAATTACAGTCCAAGGCAGCATGGGATTGCCCTGTAGCTGAGAGGTGACTTCAGCTGGGCTGAGGTGGGCTCATGCATGCAGATAATGTCCACAGCATTCCTGTGTAATAGAACCACAGCCCTGGGCTCTGGCACATGCCTGCTCAGAGCGCAGGTGGACAGTGGTTGCTGGCTGTCATCAGTATGGGCAGGGTGCATATCTGATCCCTTAGAGCTCACTGACCTGGGTGGAGGACTGAGGAACCTGCTTGCATTTCTGATACACCGTGAGTTGATGCTGATGATGTAACTGTGTCGTGTTTCAGGAAGCCCACGCCATCCACCTTGAAGGCTGGGGAGCTGCGCACACATGTCAGCCGCTGTCAAGTGTGTATGAGAAGAACATGAAGACGCCCTCCGCTGCCGTCACAACATGGTGCTACTCCTTCCTCCTCTTCTTCCTCCTTTTTTTATTTTTAACAGCAACGAACCCTAGAATTCTATCCTATGTACCTCACTGTCCAATATGAAAACCATAAAGTGCCTTATAGGGATTTGCATAACTAACACACCCCGCTTCGTTGGCCTCTGTTTGCTGAAGGAGAAGACAGACAGCGATAAGCTTTCCATAGTGGCACATACCAAATGGCACTTGTGATGAAATAAAAGATAAATACTTCCTGCAATCCAGTGCACTGATGTGTGAGGTGAGAACTACATCAGAAACCCAAAGGTGCTAGGGGTGCGCGGTGCCCTCCAGACAGCCCACAGCCTATTCATCCTGTACTTGGCAGACGAGTCCTTCATCCCAGATACCAGTGTCCACTGACATCACTGCCTAGTGTTTCCAAATCAGGGCCCTCAGTCTATGCAAGTAGCAGTCATGGAAACTGGTTTCTTCAACCCTCCACCTGGAATTACGGACTCTGTAGCCATCTTTCCAACCCTCAGACACAAACTTATGCCCTGTGTGGTACTACGCAGCTGCTTTTGTGGAAGTTACAGCTTTCCTGTGGAATACAGATGGTCCAAAGGTAGATGGAAAATAAATATATATATATTTTAGTAATTTATATAGATGTCAGCAATTAGGCAGGTCAAGTTCTAGTGTAAGTTCCACTGATGAAATAAAGCTTGGTTAGGTTTCCTCTCTCAGAGACTGTGCTGTCCTTTCACAGGGCTCTCAACACCAACTTTCCTCTTTCACTCTCAAACCAAAATTGTATTGCCAAAGCCAAACCCAGGTTCATGAATATGGTGTCTATGATAATGAATCATGTGCTGGGAGCTTACTGTTTTTATTCTGTATTAAGTATTTTCAGGGTTTTAAACACTAACCACAAACTGAATGACTTGACTTCCAAAGCAGTGACATCAAGGCCTTTGTTAGCATCCCTCGTTCTGCATCCTAGCAGGATTTTCACACCTGAGCACATACAGGCCACTTTCCAGGCTTCTCCTGAGCTGTGTCACAGCTCCAACAGGGAGTGGACAGGCCGCAGGAGGGCAGACTCGGACCACTATGCTTGAAGTGACATTTCACTAAAAGTATCCCCCAAAAATGTTTTTAAAGACTACTAAGGCCTTCTGTGTAATTTCTTTAAATGTGTATTTCTTAAGAATTCAAATTTGTAATAAAACTATTTGTATAAAAATTCAGCTTTTATGGATTTGTTGCTAGTGTTGCCACTAAAACATTAAAAGTTACCATACAAGCCGCTAATAAACCTGAAAGCTTTGCTGCGTACCTCACATCATTTTTATTTTGCATTTGTCCAAGAGAGAGCCCCAGACTGGGGGTAACTTACAGTGATTACTGCAAAGGAAAATGACTGTCCCCCCCCTTCATCCTTCACTGCCACGTTGGTCCACTTCCAGGTATAGTTAGACACAATGCAGAGATATATGAAACACATCCAGTCACAGAAATCTGACCCATCAGGCTGTAGGACAGGGAGTACAGTTCTGCACTAGAGGGGCATTGAGCAGAGGGCTGGATTCTAAGTGTCTTGGAGTAGTAAAAAGTCAGGTGTGGGCTGGGGAGATGGCTCAGTAAGTTAAGTGCTTGCTGTTCAACATGAGGATGTGAATTTGGATCCCCAAGATCCACGTAAAAGTTAGGCATGGTAAAACACACTTGTAATCCCAACATTGGGGAGGCAGAGACAGGTGGCTCCCTGAAGCTAGCTGGTCAGCCTGTCTAGCAGAATTGGGGGCTTCAAAGTCTCTTCAATGAGAGACTTTGACTCAAAAAATAAGGCAGAGAACAATTGAAGAAAACAGTTGATGTTGACCTTTGGCCTTCATAGGCACACATGTGTACACACACACACAGAGAAGACACATATTTGGTGACTTCAGCTTCAGTTTAAACTGGGGTGAAATACAGCCAGTAGAAGACGAACATGCTACTGAGTACCCATGACAAAGCTCTAAGGGTTGAAATACCCTGGCTTAACTTGCCCAGCCAAGCTGTACCAAAGATGAACTGGGGTAACACGTAAGCATCCTTTACATTTGAGAAAGAAGTGGATCATGTGAAAACATCATGTATGGATGAAACAGGAAAATGAATATGGTGTGAGGACCAAACAGGGTTTCCTGAACACACAGTGTGACCTCAGGGAAGGTCTGGGTTTGGTCTTTTTCTCACTTTTGACATAACTGATGGACAGAATCCTTTTGCTTTGTGGCTAGCAGAGTGGAGAAAAACATCAGATAATCAGGCTTAGTTGAATGAGACAGAGCAAAAGCTCTTCCTGTGGTAGCCACTTAGAGCTTTCTAAACATACAAATATATATAATGTATACACAGAGCAGAACAAAACACTGGATGAACCTTGAATCCAACACTCAGATGTGCATTCCATTACCTATCATTCTAAAAGCTGTTTTTATGTTCTTTAAATTAACCTGGAATAAAATGGGCTTCCTTGATGTAGAATTCTATGAGCCACAACATATGTGTACATTCATGTAACCATAACCAAGTCAGTCCACAGCTACATCACCAAATCCCCTCTGCATTCTGGGGCATTCTGGGGCACCTCATATGGACATTTCCCAAGGTTCTCCTGTTTTTGACTGTCCAGTTAAGCCAGTACCATTTGTTAAAGAGACATACTTCTCCTTGGAATGATCTTGGACATCTTTGTCAAATCAGTTGATTCTAGATCTTCTTCTTTAAACTGCATCTGATTCTAGATGGGCTGTGTGATCAGTTTAATTTTGAAAAGATTATGTGTGATGTTTAGTATATGGTTCATTGTGTTGCATGTGGGTATCTGGTTTGGGGACACTTAGAAAGGCTATCCTTTTTTTCACTGAGTTAACATCTATAATTCAGTTGGCTGTACTTTGTGTGGGGATTTATCATGGAGGCTCTCCAGTCTGTTTCATCTGCCACCTTCCCTATCTTCAGGCTCTCTTGATTTAGCTTTAAAGTAAACCTCCCTCTCTCTTTTAAGGCAGTGTCTCACTGTGCAGTGCTGGCTGGCATGGAATTCGCTATGTATACCAAGCTGGCTTCAAACTCAGGAGATCTGCCTGCCTCTGCCTCCTGGCTAAAGTAAATCTTAAAATCAGTTCCTGAGTTTCATCTTACTTTGTACATCTTTCCCAAACCTGTTTCATTGACTCTTAATTTCTCTGTTTTGTATGTACATTCAAGACTCAGCTTTTTTAAATCCATGAAACACATCCTCTGGTGCTTTGATCAGAGTTGAGCCTGAATTATCAATCCATTTGGGAAGAGTCACCACCTTTACTGAATTTTACACTCTGATATAGGATATATCTTTTATTTTTGGTGTCTTGGGTATTTTTCCATCATTTTATAGCTTTTAGTATGCTGGTTCATTAGATTTAAAATTATTCTTGAGCCACTGTAAATAGCATTTAAAATTTTTTGAGTTTATATTACATGCTTCATCTATAGGAATATGATTTAATTTTTTAAGTTTATGGTTCTTGAAGAGTTTTATTTTATACTTGCATTAAGATTTTTCTACCCAGGCAATTATGTTGTTTGTAAATGAGAACAATTTCATTTCCTTTCATATTCTTTTCCTCTTCCCTCTTTGTTTTTTTCATGTCTTATAGCACTGGCTACTGCTTCTGATTCAACATCACAAATAGTGTTTGTAAAATTTGCCAATGCAGCCATCTGGGCCTGCAAATTTCTTTTTGCGAATGTCTTTAACTGTAAATTCAACTTTTAAATGGTTATAGGACTATCCAGGCTCCCTACTCTCCTGGATGACAGTGATACCAAGTTCCCTTTCAAGGAACAGTCCATCCTAAATTGTCAGAATTGCCTGTGTCAAGATGTCCGTAGGTTTCCCATACTACTCTTGTCTGGGAAGTTCTTTACTTCTCAATATTAAAAATGATTATCACCGACTTCTTTGTCAATATCAGTATTGATCTTTTCAATGAACCAGTATTTGGTTTCATGGATTTCTCCCCTATTGTTTTTCTGCTTTCGGTTTTGTTGATTTGTTAGGTACAGTGGCGTATACCCGCAACCTCAGCACTAGGCACCTGAGGCAGGAGGATTATGAGTGCCACTCCAGTCTATACTGGAAACTTAGACGATTGACTGGAGGCCTCTTCCTGTTTTAACATGTGCATTGATTGCTACAAATTTCTCTCTGATTTGTTTGTGTCATATATTTTGTTATGCTGTTGTTCCATTTACATTCAATTTCAGATAGTTTCAGATTTCCTTAGATTCATGGTTTATTTGAGAATGTGTTGTTTTGTTCCCATATATTTGTAGATTTTCATGTTAGAGTTCTGGTTTTGAATCTGGTTTCATTGTGATTTCATTATGAACACAGAATGAACAACATCTGATTTCAATGATCTTACATTTGTTCAATTCAGTTGCTTTTATAATCTAGGATATGATCTTTCCTGGTGAATGACCTGTGTACAGTTGAAAATATGGATTCAGTTAGTATTGGATTGATCATCCTATAAATTTCAGTCAGGATCCATCTTTTATGACCTTGTTAATTTTCTGTCTACTGGTTGTTTCATCTACTGTGATGAGAGCTAAAGTCTCTAGAGTGAGGGTTTTTATGATCTTCCTGCATCTCCATCAGGCTCCAGCACTAACCCTCACTGTACACACCTTCAGTGTTCGAAGTCTTCGTGCTGAGCTGACTTTTCTTACTACACTACAGACCTCTTCCTGTCTCATAACTACTTTTTCTCTGAAATCTACTTTAATATTAACATAACTGTCTTTTCCTTGGATTAGTAATTTACTGGTGTCTTTTCTAGCCTTTCATTTTGGTCCCAATCAGATAATTATATTTGAAGTGAGATTCTTGCAGACAACATATGGTTGTATTATGTTTTCAAAATCCATTCCGGCAATCTTTTAATTGATGTGATAGACTGTGCTTTTATGTTTAACTATTGTTATATTTGGATTTATGTCTAGTTTTTTGTTTACATTTTATTTGCTACCTCTTAATTTTACTTCTTTGATTTTTTTGACATTTTTAGTATGCTGTTTTAACTCATACTCTGTAGTTTAACATATTGACATATTTTTAAAACAGAAGTGAAGAATAGTTTATTTATTATTTATTATTTATTTATTTATCTTGAGATATGGCCTCCCTGTGTAGCTCAGGCTAGCCTCAAACTTGTGGCAATTCTTCTATCTCAGCCTCCCAAATGCTGGGATTACAGGTGTGAGCCATCCTACCTTGGTAAGAACAGTCTTAAATCGATCAGGTAGTGCCTATTTTGTTTTTCTTCCTTTATTCCTGATATCTGCAGTTTGTTTCTCATACAATTCCCTTTATATCTGAAGAACTTCGTTTCACAATTCCTTTAGAGTAGGTTCACTGGGAAGAGGTTCTTCTGGTTTTCCATCAGCTGAAAATCTTTATTTCCTCTTTCCTAAAAGACAGAATTCTGACATTTATTTCTCTCAGTAGCCCTCCACTGTCATTCACTTTCCCTCCCCTGGGTTCCAAGGTTTATGAGAAGAAGCCTTCAGTCCTTCAGAAAACTAATTATGACACACCTAGGTATGGATTGCGTCCTCTGAACTTTTTTTTAAATGTGTATGCATGTATAGTCTGCATGTATGTAAGTTCACCTGTGTTGTGCAATGCCTGTGGAGGACAGAAGAGGTTGTCGGATCTCCTGGAATTGGAGTTGTGGACAGTTGGTAACTGCCATGTGGGTGCTGGGATTTGAACCAGGGTCTTCAGCAAGAACAGCCAGTGTTCTTAACCGCTGAGCCATCTCTCCAGCCTCTCTCTGAACTTTTTGAATCTATAGGTTTGTGCCTTTCCTCTGTATAAAATACTGGTGCTTTCTGTCTGGGTAGCCATTGGGTTACATTCCAGGTTGCAAGTTCTACTTCACAGACCTGTGGGGTCTGTGCTGCCAGTGCCAGCTAGTTTTACAGTACTATTCAGATCTGTCCTGTGGGGAGTACTCTAAGTGGAAGATTATTAGGTCACAGTTGGGGAAGCTCAAGTTCCGAGTCTCAGCTGCCAGGCTCTGGCAAAGGTTCTGCCTAATCATAAAATGGGAGTATGTGTGAGAAAGTACAAGAGGTCACAGGATGACACAGGAAGCCAGAGATTCAAGGGTCAGGCTACTCCTATCTCTCTATTCCTCAGGAGCTA